TTGGCTTCCAGTGTCACTTCGGTGCCACGGAGTGGGAGCGGTGCCAGGTCGATGTTCCCAGCTTCAGTGCCGGGGAGCGGCAGTGCTGCGGGTCTCGGCCACAGTCCATCCACGGTGCCATGTCCACCGCCGCCAGGACGCTGTGCACCGAAGAGTTTGGTGCCGGGTCCTGCCACATCGAAGGAGGCTGGGATCTAAGAGCTGCCTCCATAAGGGGCTGCTTCAGGCAAAAGTCCCACTCCTTTTTAGTCCGAGGATGAAATCCCTTGCAGATGCACTTCTCGGCTTGGTGAGCCTCCCCCAGACACTTCAGACAAGAGTTATGGGGGTCGTCCGTTGGCATGGGCTTGGAGCAGGATTTGAAGGACTTAAAGCCCAGGGACTTGGGCATGAAAGCCCCGAAGAAAGACAGTCAGGGTGGAGGGTAAACCCCCCCAACCCAACTGCCACTAACTACAACAAAACAAAAGAAACTACCAACAAAAATCAGAACAACTACTATCTAAATGAATCTAGGGACACATGGAAAACTTGCTAAGCAAGACGCCACAGTTCCAACAACCATCACGGGCTGTAAGAAGGAACTGAGGGGGCGCCAGGTCAGCAGGGTCATATATTGAGCGCCATGGAGGTGCCACTCGAGGGGGCTCCACAGCCGACCCGCAGGATGCTGCTAGGGGAAAAACTTTCCAACGGCCGTGCACATGGCGCACCCACACCTAATTGGAATTGATATGAGCAATCACTCAAAGAAGAACCTCATCTTCTTGAGATATTTGTTGAGATGATGCAGATCTAGGACGGGCTCAGGCTCTGTTTTGCCTTGGGAATCAAGAGATAGTGGGCATAGAATCCTTTCCCTCTCAGTTCTGGAGGAACTACCTCCACAGCCCGTCTATAGGAGGGCTTGCACTTCCTGGACAAGAAGTTGCTTATGAGAAGGGTCCTTGAAGAGGGATGGGGAATGGGGGAAGTGATGTATGGATTGAAATAAACTGGAGTTTATTTCACCCAGTGGTCCGATGTTATTGATGCCCAAGCAGAGAGGTATGGTAAAAGGCGTTCCAAAAACGAAAGGGGGGTGTGCTGATCCAAGGGGGAGACTGGTAATCCATCCCTGAGCATGCCTTCAAAAGGACATCTGTTCCCGCTTGGGAAACGGCTAGCGCCCGGTTGGGCAGTGGCAGAGGCCAGCTGGCCCAGCTGGCATATGTAACCTCTCCTCTTTCTTTTGTAGGGCTCGAGTCTGGGTGGAGCACAGAATCTAAGGGGTTGCTGAAGCCTGAAGTGCTTTCGTGAGGCCGCTGCTGTATAAACACCCAGGGACCGCAGTGTGGCTCTGGAGTCCTTGAGTCCATCTGGTCCAAAAATAGTGAGGACCCTTCAAATGGAAGATCCTGCACTAGCTGCTGCACCTCTTGTGACAGTCCAAAGACTGCAGATATGAACCTGGCTGCCAAATCTACTGCATCTAAGGCAGCTTGGAGGGAACTTCTGGCCACTGCCTTTCCTTCCTCCAAAATGACCAAGAATTCCTGCAGTGATTTTTGCGGCAGGTAGTCCTTAAATTTGGTCATGGAGTCCCAAACATTGAAGTCATATCACCCCAGCAGCGCCTCCTGGTTTGCGATACAGAGTTGGAGACTTGCAGTAGAATAAACCTTTCTACCAAAAAGGTGCAAGTGTTTTGACTCATTTTTTGGGGGTAGCACGGGACTGGCCCTGCCTATCCCTCTCATTGGCTGCAGCGACCACCAGAGAGTCCAGGGACAGGTGAGAGTATATATACTTGAACCCTTTTGTGGGCACATAGTACTTCTCTTCCACCCTTTTAGAAATTGGGAGCAGAGATGAAGGCATCTGCCATAGTGCTTTTACCTCCTTATGCACAGGCAGAGCCACCTTGGCAGGAGCCGCAAGAATATCAAAAAAGGCGTCCATTGGCTCTTTGAGCTCCTCTGCTCCAGGCCCAGGTTGGCAGCCACCCTCTCAAGGAGCTCCTGGTGGGCTCGCAAATCATCAGAAGGCAGGGCGTTAACAGGACCCACGAGTGCCTCATCTGGGGAAGATGAGGAGGATGCCAGTGTGGATGAGTGGCCAGATCCTTTACCTCTTCTGTGGCCATCTCAACTGGGGATACTGCTGGGGTTTTGGTACCGGGTCTGAGTTTGAACCTGGCTTCAGTACTGACCACCACAGATGGGTACAGATGGAAGGTATGAGAACTGTCCCAGTGCCGCTGGGAACCCTCAGGGGTTCCAATACTGCCACTGGACTGGCCACTCCCTGGAGGCCACAAGCCCATAGATGGGCCAGCACAGAGGTCCACCTGGTATGCCAGGTGATGGCGCCTCTTTTGAGGAGATGCTGCCTCCCTCAGAGTCTGACGAGGGCTTCTCATATGAAGACTAGGGCAGTGTCATTGATGCACCCTCTTGCCGGCTATGATGGGGAGCTGGAGAACGATGCCTCTGTACCAGAGACCAGCTACAGGAAGCCAGCTATCGGTGCTGGGACTCTGGTGAGTGGCACCGGGACTCCAGTGACTGGTGCTTGGTCTCAGGGGATCAGTGCCACGTGACCAATGCCTGGGATCGGGTGATCGGTGCCAATTCTCGGGCGACCAGCACCTGGGCATCAGCGACCGGTTCCAGCCCGCTGGAGACTGACGTTGGGAAAGTGATGGAGACTGGTGTTGGGCTGGGGACCATGGTGGAGGGCATAGGCACGGACTCTGTGGCTGGAGCACCCACGGGGAAAAATGGTAGGTGCTGAGCACCCACCAGCAGCCCCCCTATCAGCTCCCCCCACCAGCACCTCCTGCTCACCCCGGCAGGCCCTGTGGATCAGTGCCCCTCCGAGCCTCCTACACGCTGCAAAACAGCTGTTTTGCGGTGTGCAGGAGACTGGGAGGGAGTGGGGAGGAGAGAGGATGCAGCATGGTCAGGGGAGGGAGTGGAACCGGGTGGGAAGAGGCGGGGGGCGGGGCCTTGAGGGAAGGGGTGGAGTGGGGGTGGGGTCTGGGGCACAGCCAGTGGTCGAGCACCGCCTGGCACTTTGGAAAGTCAGTGCCTGTGATGGAAGGCCCAGTACAGGCTTTCCCCGCAATACAACTGCCCTCGATGGTTCCCTGGTGGTAGGCACGCAGTTCCTAGGTGTAAGAGGAACCGGCAGGGCCATCAGGTCCCTGACCACCTGAAAGGCTTCCAGCATGGAGGGAGTCCTCAGGTGTGCTGTGCCTCTGCTATTCCCAGGCGTATGGGGTGTCTCCTAGGTTGGGCTGTGCGAGTGGCCCGGCACAGGTCACGTCTCGCTCCCCAAGTCTCTATGGTGTCCTTTGGGCACTGGGGAGCGCTCTCTTGGGGCATGCTTCTTGTGCCACTTTCTCGGCACTGGGGATGTAGAGCAGTGCTGAGGGGTGCATGGTGCCGGAGGCACACTACACACTGAGGTAGATATGTTCAGTGCCAAGTCCAACCAGCTCGGAGCCCAATCTAAGCACGGCTTCCATCAGCAGAGCTTTCAACCTGATGTCCCAGTCTTTTTAAGTGTGGGGTCTAAAGCCCTGGCAGATCCCACACTTCTCTTACATGAGCCTCCCCCAGGAACTTTAAGCAGCTGGCGTGGGGATCACTCTTGGGCATGAGTTTAGTGCAGGCAGCACATGGCTTGACACCCAGAGACCAGGGCATCCCAAGGGAGTATACTGTTCCAGCAACTGTCATGGGCGGTAAGAAGGAACTGGAAGGGCACAGGGCCGGCAGTGCCCCTTATACCGGCGCATAAGCATGGGCATCCAGGGGGTGCTAGAGCTGGCCCTACAGATACCACTGGGAGAAAAATCTCCGGCAACAGTGCATGTGGCTTGTGCACACCTGACATGGAATGGACATGAGAAATTACTTGAAGTAGTCTGAGTTACAAACTCTGCAAGGGAGCACTTAAATCTAAACCAAAAGCCTTTTTCACTGGAATTTAAATATAATTTCATGGAAACATCTCTATTGGATTTTACAAATCCTAAAATTATTTTTATAAAACTTAAATTCTGGGCAAAAATTGACTAGACAGTATCTCTTTAATTTACTTAAATAAGGTTTATACTTGAATAACTAGTTACTGAGTCCTGGAAACCAAGACCTGTTTTGTACAGGTACTTTATGAAACCAGTTTAAGTCTCTCTTGGATCTTTTATCTCTGCTGATTTTTAAACGCTATAGATTTTAGAATGAAAGTTTCCAAAAGAGATGTATAAATTGTGCTCACAAAATCTACTCAGGGATACAAACATGTACATGTTTGCACAAAGAATGCAGTTACATACACAGAAATACTGACTATAGAAGCACACACCCATTTGCATGCACATTTATCCATTCTAGGCATGCAACTATATTTTATACATGCATTTACCTGCTTGTGCCCATATATTTTGATACATTTTAAAAACTCTGGCCCTTACAAAGTCCCTTTGTCTATTGTTGTTGTTTCTTATTATTTAGATTGTAGTAGTGCCCAAATATGCTAGGTGTTTTATAATATAGAAAATGACACATGTCCTTCAGCCAAAACTTTTAATAGCACATTTTCCTTCCTATGCCAAGGGTAGAGGTGCTACATTTACTGAACCCCAATCTGTATTTTTTCAGCCATAAACACAGCACCTCACCTCTGAGAGGGATGAGAGATGACTGGGTAGTTTCAACCCTATATGTCACTGCCCTTCTCTGGTGAGTAAGAAAGGGATTCTTGAATAATCAGTGGGGCCGGCACCCTATACCACAAGAACATATGCACCCCTATCTGGGTTTGGTTTGCCTCAGGCACTGATCCGAGGAGAAACTAAGCAAGAAAAAACAGTGTGGGTCAACTACATGCAGCAGGATAAACCCACTAAATAAGCTTCCCAGGCACTTCGAAACCTGATTTGAACCCAGCACTTCAGTAATGTATTATTAACCATCCCATTGCTCCACCAGCCCTGGACCAGTAGTACTCACTTGCCAGGTGCGGACCTGAACCCGATTTGGCTCAACTGTGTAAATGCTTTCTTCATGCATAGCCAGCACTGGAGAATCACAGAGGAAAGAGCCTGGAACATTCACAAGAATATCATCATTAGAATAAATGGCTACATGCTATCAATCAAAGTAAAGCATGCTCTTTCAGTCTAATTCAGGGGTAGGCAACCTACGGCACGCGTGCCGAAGGCGGCACGCAAGCTGATTTTCAGTGGCACTCACACTGCCTGGGTCCTGGCCACCGGTCTGGGGGGGCTCAGCATTTTAATTTAATTTTAAATGAAGCTTCTTAAACATTTTAAAAACCTTATTTACTTTACATACAACAATAGTTTAGTTATATATTATAGACCTATAGAAAGAGACCTTCTAAAAACGTTATAATGTATTACTGGCACACAAAACCTTAAATTAGAGTGAATAAATGAAGACTCGGCACACCACTTCTGAAAGTTTGCCGACCCCTGGTCTAATTCATGAAGTGACTAGTCCCCAGGGGCAGCTCTAGGCACCAGCAAAGCAAGCACGTGCTTGGGGCAACCCATTTGCAGGGGTGACAGGGATCTAGCATGGGAGCGGAGAACCAACAGGGGGCCCTGGGAGCTGTAGTTCCTTGGTTAGCTCCCTGCCTATAGAAACAGCCCTGGAGCAGGGAAAGAACTACATTTCCCAGCATTCCCTTGGCCACTACCAACAGGAAAGAGGGGGAGGGAGTGAGGAAGCTGAGACCTCACGCTGCAGCCTGCTTTGAATGGAGAGCTGCACTGTGAAGGGTAGGGATACCATATTTTAACATTCAAAAAATAGGACATTCCATGGGGAGGGAGGGTAGCCCCACCCCGCCACCATCCACTCCCGCCGACTGCCCCCCACAGAAACCCCAACCCATCCAACCCCCCTGCTCCCTGATCATCCCCTCCCGGGACCCCTGCCCCAACTGCCCCCCAAGACTCCACCCCCTATCTAAGCCCCACTGGTCCTTGTCCCCTAATTGCCCCCTCCTGGGACCCCACCCCTGTCTAAGCCTCCCTTCTTGTCCCCAACTGCCCCCTCCTGAGACCCCCCCCAACTTCCCCCCTAGGACCCCACCCCCTACCTGTCCCCTGACAAACCCCTGGGACTCCCATGCCTATCCAACTGCTGCCTGTCCCCTGACTGCCCCCCCGAACCCCTGACCCATCTAACCCCCCCTTCTCCCTGTCCCTTGACTGCCTCCCCAAACCTCCGCCCCATCCAACCCCCCCGCTCCCTGTCCCTTGACTGCCCCCCCGAACCCCCTACCCCTTCTCCAACCCCCCAGCCCCCTTACCATGCCACTCAGACCAGCGTGTCTGGCTTCAGGCAGTGCCAGACACGCTGCTGCACACATGCTGCCGTGCTCCCCTGCGGAGCCACAGCCCCCCCCCAGCACCTGCCTTCCAGATTTGAACACCTCAAAATTCAGGAGTGCTCAAGCTCAGTTTGGGCAGCTGTTACTTCATTTCTCCCAAATCAAATATACTGATCCACTGTAACTTGCTGTAGAAAAAGTAGGATAAAATTGAGCAAGAAATGCTTCCCAGTGGTTATTAGGACTGGAATTGCTATTTTCAACAGCCATTGCCTTTTGTTTGTTTGTTTGTTTGTTTGTTTAAAAGGAAGACAGTGATATTGCATTGGCAAATTCCCCATAAAAAGAAAGAGTGGAACAAAAGAATAATAAAGGCACCTCAACTTTTCCTCATTTATGTAGGACAGTCTTATAACATGCATCCAGATATCCTCCAATCACAGACGCTGAAAAATGTTCCACTTTACTGCAGTTCTGTAACCATATGGGAACCAATCCTGTCTGTGTTCTGTGCACATCCAAAATTCCTGCTGAATGACCCGCCCTGGGAGCGAGTTACCAGTGACCCAGGGCTGCGGCGGAAGGAGGGTGCAGGACGGGGGGCCGGGGGAGAGCCCAGGGCTGGGGCAGCAGGGTGTGTGTGTGTGGGGGGGGGGGGGGGGACCCCGGGGTGGGGGGTGTGGGTGGGGGGGGAGAGCCCAGGGTTGGGGCAGCAGGGAGGTGTGGCGAGGAGCCCAGGGCTGGGACGGGGGGCAGCCAACATTTTTTTTGCTCGGGGCAGCAAAAAACCTAGAGCCAGCCCTGCTAGTCCCTACAGTGGTCTCAATAAAGCAGTGTGCATTGACAGCAGGTCATTTCCAACTCACAACAAATCTGTTCCTCAATCGTTCTGTAGCACTTCCCAAAATTCTTCCCCCCCTTCTCCACCATCATTTGTCCCTTATGCTGGTTTCTCGTCAGGAACTACATCCAGAGTATGAAATTACATCTCTAGCAGAAGGCACTCCGTATGCTCTGTTCATATGTGAGGGGTGGAAGAGTAGGGGGAGGCAGAGAGAAGGAAATTGACCAGCCCCAGTTTTACGATCAGATGAGATGATTCACCCTTCCCTGATTTTGCTACAATTGGGAAATTGTAAATGAGGGTGCAACAGAATTGGAGGTGCTCTGGAACAATCTGTGAATATTGCATGTTGACCTGGCTATTGGGATAGTTACTGGAATATGTTGATTTAGTAATAGGGAGGATTGTAAGGACAAAACAAGCAAGAAGGGAAGAAGAATAGCTCACAATAAGCCACTTCTCAGCAAACATCTGAAGGTTCTTTAGAGAAAATGCTTGAACTATTGGCCTTGAAGAGTCTACCCCCTGGCTCCAGTCAACTTAGAGAATCACTTTTGACAGCATCATCCATGCCTGGGAATCAGAAGATCAAAAGAACTAGAGCAGTTTAAAACAAAAAAAAAAATCTCTCTCTCTCCAGTGAGCAGGTAGTGGTTGGGGAACTGTTTGCAGGGGGCAGACTGATAAAAAGTTCCCACGAGGGTATCTGAAGAAGCTAGGCGTGCCTAGCTCACCATCACAGGATGGTAGGGCTTTAGGTAAGACAGACATGCATGTAAACTGTCATTTTAAAATCCTTTTACTTTAAATGCTTTGTTCCTACTATTAAAATAAACAATACTTAGGCTTTTAAGAAGGCTGTTTGGTCACACACTCCCAAAGGGAGAAATCACAGGTACCAAACCCAGTTGGACCTCTACTGTTAGAAGGTGTTCAGATACTATGGTGGTGAGCACAGTATAGGAACCTAAATAGAATAGGGTAAGCACAGTTCATACACAGCGTACTGTAGCCAGGGCCCAGTCTTAAGAGAAGAACTGCGGAATTTCAACTCAGGAGAGGTAAAGGCATGAGGCCTGCCTGACACCTGATGCACTCAGACCATCAACGGGTCAGAGGTGCAGCTGGCCCTGTAACCATGACAGGGGACTTCTATGTTTGAACATTAATTTGCAATGAATTCTTATTAATCTAGTGCAGCTTCTTAGCACTAAACTAACTAGGAGCAGTGCCCAAGAGAAGAGTGAAATGAAGTGATCAGAAGTGATGTGAACATGTTTTGTGGTGGGTAGTAGGCATTATCTGTTAACACTGGCACATAAGTCTGTTTCCAGTTTCCTAGCACTCACAGGCCTTAAAAGTCGATATTGCATTATAATATCATTAAAAATAAAGCCTTACATTTGTATCACACTTGCAAATGCAATAAGGTCAGAGTTTTACATATGATTTATTAAGAACTAGGTCTCTGGAATGTGCTTCATCAGAGTCCGAGTTTTGTGTGGGTTATTTTAAACTGATTTAGCTTGGGTTTGTTTTGTTTTTAACCTGTGAAAAAGGCATCTCAGAGATATAATCAAGCTACTCTAGCAGTTTCCATGCTATCAAGACCCCTAAGGGACTGGAAGTGTACATCATTTCTACTACAGGTCAGTTCCCCCCTTAGTACTACTCATGATACATATATAAGAATGTAGAGAGGTTCAGGTATCAAACTGCACACTATATCCAGGGGTTTCAGCTAATGATTAGAGCAAAGGTCTGGGAGCCAGGATTTGAGTTCTGTTCTTGTCATTGACTCAGATGATCAAGGATCTGTCCACCTCTTTATGCCTTATTTTCCTATTCTGTAAAATTGGAATACTAACCATTTCACAGGAGTGTTGTGAGGGCTAATTAGTGCTTGTAGAGTTCTGAAATGCAAAGTATGATTATTAAAGCCTAAGAGTTATCATGAGTTCAGTGAACATATAATTTTTTGGGGATTCAACACCCTCATACATGTTCTCCTGTGGGCTACCTCTTGTGAAGTCCTACCTGCATTTCGTAACGTGGCTCCTGAGCATTCAAAGACAGTGACTTGCTTCCCATTCCAGAATACTATAGCATCCTGAAATAGCCACAGAGAAGTTACAAAGCAGTTACGTTTCTGCTGGAAACATGCATGAAATCCCTCAACGATTTGTAACTCAGCTTAGTGCCAATCTAGTAATTCTGCTAAAATCCTTTTCATACAAAATCCCATGTAGAGTCTATGCTATATTCATTTCTGTGCATGAACAAACAACAATGGAATAAACTTTCCATCACAGCCATCACCTTATACCTTCCTCTATATATTTACTGGGTTGTCCAATGCCCAGAGGTCACTAAACAGAGAGCTATTAATGAATAATTGTGCTGCCTGGAAATCAGCTCCATTGGAATGTGCCTGTTGTAGTAGTGATGCTATTTTCCATCAACACACATATACTGCAAAAGCAACTAAAATGTAAGGAAGGGAGAATCTGAGAAGAGTTAGATAAATTATGGTGGAAAGCTTGGATTTCCATCTCTGAAATAATTAAACCACATTAAGTGAGTGAGTCTTCGGCAAGAAAAGAAACTGCCCCCAACAGCTGAGGTGGTGAGTTACCTTAGTGGCAAATACTCCAGTAATGTGCATATCAACGCGGAGGCTGTGCGTGGCTCCTGTACCGAAGAAGGTCACATTAAGCAGATTTGGGGACACTTGCACTACTGCCACCTGCTGGTGGAAATGAGATGACATAGCCTGCTCGCTGAGGATCACCACAGAGTTCATGTTGTTCACTGCCAGTAGGTTTTTCCTGGAGCCCCACTACACACAACAAAGAGGGTGAGAAAAATCCAAAACACTTTAATCAGAGATTTTTGAAACACTGTAATTCAGAGGGGCCTCAGTTACAGACAGTGTCTCAGGGTTGGGGGCACGTATAACATACATATGAATATAATCTCAAAATGAAATCCTACTTTCTGAACTCAGGCATAGTCAAGAGGATGCATAACCACCTGTACTTCTTCAGGGTATGCTATAACCATATTTGCACCCATACTCTTTCAGTACATAGAGAGGGGCATGGATCAGCGTTCATGTTGCACTCCCTGTCAGTACCCAACCCCAGCTGGAGAAGCTAACAATCCAACCAGCGGACCAAATTCTGGTCATGTGCCACTTGAGGCATGTTGCACATACACTAAGAAGAAGGGTACATGGAAGAGCCTGTTTTAAACGATTACCTCTTTTCATCCCACCCCCTTGCCACTATTATACCATCTTGCATGCAGTAATGTTAGAGAAAGATAAGGTACTCAACAAGATAGCTAATACTTTTTCCTATAAAATCAAGATGTGCATGTGAAGTTCTTTCCCATGACAAATTGTTTCTTCTTTGACTACCCACAGTCCTATTTCCACTTCATCCCCTGTAGTGATGTGGAGAACAGATCTGAAAATTGCAGGAGAGTGCAATGGGCTATGGACTATTCTGGGGAAGGTCTTGCTCAATCTCTCCCATTGAAGCTTTTCCATTTTTTATAAACAGTCACTGGAACAGGAACATGAACTTGGGTCTCTGACATCCTACTTGAGTGCCCCAACCAGCAGGCTATAGAGTCACCCTCTCACTCACTCAGTCTTGTCCAATGACTATTCACTGTCATTATGAATGACTATGAATTGCCACTATGAATATCTAGTTCTAATTTCACCTTCTTTTGCCAGCCATCTCAATCAATAGTGCAGTTCAATTTCCCAATCCATACAGTACCCATCATGTGCACAAATGAAGAGGTCTGAGAGCATTTTTCCCTATTTTGTCCCACCCTACTCCAACTAAATATTATTATTTAATATGGATTATTCCCCCACCTAAAAAATGTTAAGACCAATCACACAAAAGTCTTTCATAAGCAATAACTGGGGAGAGTTCTATTGAATTTAATAGGGATTAGACTAATCAGTTTCTACAAATAATCAACAGAATTTTATCAAAATTACTCCAAAAGCCTACATAATAAATAGGAAGGCTCTCCTTCTCTGTTTTAAGCCATCATGTAGTGGGAATATAATTCTCTGCTGAGTTCTATAGACTGTCTCCAAAAAAAAAAAAAAGCCATAGGAAGCATACGTGCCTAGCTTTGACCAATACCCAGCATAATGTTTTAAGCCTGTTGCTAAACTGATTCCCAGAGGGGAGAACACTGTCTTGGAGTCTTCTTTGAGGCCTCTTCGACCAATTTAATTTTGGATAGACAGAGAATTTTCAAGGAAGCACTCAAGTCCAAGATCAGACTGCTCAAGATCTTCAGCAGATCTCACAGCCAGTAAAGCCAGGAGTCTTCCCAAGGTAGAAGAGTCATTTGTTCACACTTGTCCATCACTGACACCTTCCAAGTACTTCAGGCAGTTCTTTATGCCAGTCAAATACAACACATCAGAAGAGCTGTGATGGTAAAATGTCTCAAGTGCCCAGTTCTGGGATCTTACTGCTTCACTATGGCCTTCATTTGTACTTTATTAACAGATAACCAAACTAGTTGACTGTATGGCTCACTTGGACCAGTTATTTAAATACCATTTAAGTTTTGCAAGGTATAGGTATCCCAAATAAGTTCAATGGGTTTGCTGTACATTAATAAACTATTATTTACATTATAGTAGTCCCCAAAGGCACCAGCCCCTTTGTGCTAGGCACGTTATAAATCTGTAACAAAGAGATGGTCCTGCCCTCAAGAGCTAATAATATAAATAATAAATAAAGCCACTTGTGCAATGTTAGTACACAGAGCTTCCTGCAGCAGTAAATTGCTACAACTCTACTTTATCCTGCCAAATTTTGCTGCAGAAAATGATGATAAATTGTATATCATCTAGGACTATTAAACTGCCTCTAATTTGCGGTAACAGTAATATAAATAATAATATGATGATCAGGAAAGAAAACAAAGCTGTGGCGGCCATGTTAGGGGACTCCAAAATCTGAGTGAATAGGACTTTTGTAGGATATGTAAGACCTGACTCTGGGATGACTTGTGTAGTTATTCATTTTAATGAACAGATGGTAGCCTGTATATATATAGTTAAGATAGTAACTTGCTTGATGCCATATGCCCCTTTTTGTCCCTTGTTTCTAACTTTAAAGCCTGAAGTTTCTTATGTTTAGTCTGTCACATGAGACTTTTTTCCAGAAAGTTTGGGGTGGCATTGTCAAATTTGCATCAGCTTTCCATTACAAAAAATTTTTCTTACTTTCTTTGAAAAGTCATTTATCAAAAACAGCTTAGCCCACAGGTTCCAGATTTGGTTTATTCTATGATCTCAATAAGACCTGATGTCTGACTATTCTTGGAAAGTCTGGTGGACTCATTGTGGGGTTATGAACCACATTTCTTTGAAATGTATGATAATTCCATGAATGCGCCACAGATATTACAGAGCTCCCAGGTTCCTTGTATGGGATCCATGTGGGGCTTAGAAACTCTGTCAGAGTAGACACACTAAATGTGTTAGGATAAATTGCAGAATTTATAAGTGCTGCAGAAGCAGAATGCACTCTTGGGCTCCAGAAACTCTATCCTGCAGAACTTGTAAGCTCTAAAAGTTTCTGAGACATGGTGAGTCTCCAAGGCTCCTGCATTTTACTGGGATTTTTGAGCTACTGGTAGAACATTTTAATTTCCAGATTTTCATGTGTTTGTTTTTAACCATAACACTGAATTCAAAACATTTGGGGTGTTTCTATGACTATACCATTCTAATAACATTGATTTAAATAGCTGTATATGGTGGTAATTGTACTATAACCAAATCTGTGATCTGGAAAATAAGGCTAAATTATAGCTTTATTTTTCATTTTTATTTCTGAAGGTACTTGATTAATAGCATTGATTGACAGCTATCATACTATTATACTCCAACATAAATGAACTAGACCAGTGGTTCTCAAACTGGGGTCCGCGAGGGCACTTCAGGGGGTCCACAAGTCATGTCTGGGGCCACCAGCCCCGCTGATCAACCCCTCCCTCTCTCTCCCAGCACCTCCTGCACATCGCAGAACAGCTGTTCAGCAGTGTGCAGGAGGCACTGGGAGGGAGAGGGAGGATTGGGGATGGGGGTCACTCAGGGGAGGGAGCGGAAAGAGGCAGGGAAGATGAGGGGCAGGGGTGGAGTGGGGGTGAGGGTGGGGTCTTGGGGGAAGGGGTGGAGTGGGGGCAGGGCCTGGGGCTGAGTGGGGGTTGAGCGGGGGTTGAGCAACCCCGGGGAAAATTAAAACCCGGCTGGGGGGGGGGGGGGGGAAGTCTGTAAAAATGTTTAAATCAAAATGGGGGTCCTTGGGTTGCTAAAGTTTGAGAACCTCTGAACTAGAGAGTATTTCCCATCTACCTCTCTTCACAAACCATTGGGCTAGATTGTAACAAACTGAAAGATTAAACTGGCCAGGAGCCAAACTCAGCTGATATTGACCTTTGGCCTCAATATATTATTATGGCTTTCTGCCTCGCCAGGGGTTTTCATGGAAAAGTGGGTAAAAACCTTTTAGAAGAATTATCTGAGGATTTCAAGAGGAGAGGGTTACTCACCATGTGCAGTAACTGAGGTTCTTTGAGAGGGTTGTCCCTGTGGGTGCTGCACCTTGTGCCCTGCGCTTGTAATCAGAGATCTGTAGCAGCAGTGCCTAGTTGGGTCACGCACATGCCGTCGCCGTTACACGCCACCCAGGCGGTTAAATAGCGCTGTGCAACCAGCCATCCCTCGGTTACTTCTCTACCGCAGAGAATCTAGCGTGAAACTCCAAAGTAGAGGGGAGGAGGGAATGTAGTGGAGCACACACAGGGACAACCATCTTGAAGAATCTCAGGTGCTGCACAAGGTGAGTAAGCCTCTCTTCTTCCAGGAGCATGCCTGTAGGTGCTCCACTTTAGGTGACTGTCAAGCAGTGCCCCTCAGTGGAAGGTATAGGCTTCAGAGTTGCATTAGAGATGGTTGATAAAACAAAGTCCAAACAGAGCGTCTGATGATGACTGTTGCTCTATACAGCGTAGTGCTTTGTGAATGTGTGGGCAGATGTCCAAGCTGCTGCTCTGCAAATGTCAATAATGGGGACATTGATGAGAAAGGCTATGGATGCTGGAAGTGTGTGCGCATAGGCGCCGACTTCCCCTCTGCCCCGTGGGTGCTCAACCCCAGCCCAGCTCCTAGCCCCACCTCTGCACCACCCTTGCCTCACCCCAATTCCACCCCCTTCTCCCAAGTCCCTGACCCTGCCCTGCCTCTTTACCGCCTCCTTCCCCGAGCGCGCCACTCCTCCCCCTCCCGCCCAGAAAGTCCTAAGCGCCACCAAACAGCTCTTAGGCGGTGGGCGGGAAGTGCTGGGAGGGTGAGGAGTGGGGACGCCGCACTCTGAGGACGAGGAGGGGGTAGGGGCAGGGGGAGCTTGGTTGCCGGTGGGTGCGGAGCACCCGCTAATTTTTCCCCGTGGGTGCTCTAGCCCTGTAGCACCCACGGAGTTGGCACCTATGTGTGTGCAAGTTCCCATTGGGGCTTGTAATTGATGCTTTTGATAACAAAGGTGGATGCATCCCGATATCCACTTGGATAGTCTGCTTTGCGATGGTTTTCCCTTTTGATCATTCTGTCTGTGATTTTCTAAATGTTTTTGTTCTTTCCATGTAGAAAGCTAATGTTCTTTGAACATCCAGTGTGTGGAGTGATGCCTCTCTCTTTTGTCTGCATGCAGTTTTGGAAAAAACACAGGTAAGTAAAATGGGTTTGTTCAAATGAAAGGGGGAGGCAACCTTGGCTAGGAATTTAGGGTG